AGAGGTGATCACACACACAAAATAACTGTAGTACCAGCAAAATGTGAGCTAAATGTCACATGACCACCCACCTGCTCTTTCAAGTGTGTTTGTTGAGCACCTATTATGTGCCAGGAACTGTGCTGCAGAGTAAGCCTATACATGGCAGTTAAATCACAGCCCTGGACCTCAAATTCTTAATGTAACTAACACCGAGGGAACAGACACAGAGGAGATAAATACAAGGTGTGACAAGCCTACTGATGTAGCTATGTCCAGGAAGAAATGAAAAGGGCTCCTTCTCAGAATGAGTGGAATGGGGACAGAGGACTAAGGAAACAGAGAAAGGAGGTCCCTGAGCTGAGGAATACAGAGCAGGTGAAGGGCTAGAAGGACATCTTCAGTAAAGGGATAACAGCCCCCTGAATGCTATTTGCAAGTGGGGTGCTATTACTCAGGTGGGGTGGGTGGGGAGTGCCCAAGGGGAAGCAGAGGCAGATTAGTGTTATATTTGCCTTGCAAAAAGCCTTACCTCTTATAGGTGCTTGGAGCCGCTGAAAAATTTAGCTGGGAATTTGATGGTTCCTTCTGGTTCAGTGTAGAGGAAAGGTTGAGGATTGGAAGAAGGGTGATAAGTTGTCAAGTTGTCATGGATCCAAGATATAATGAGCTGGGTGGTGAGTGAGAGGCCAGTTTCAGAAACAGCACCCTGCTGAAGGGACCAGGTGGAGCACCCCGGGAGAAGTGGTTCAACCCGAGTCAGTGCGTTTCTGGAGAACAGGTTCTAAGGCACATTTAAGTGTGGGCAGAGACAGGGCACAACCAGGAATGTGGTCTGGGCTCTGTACTCTCTGCTCTCAGGAATCCTAGATGTTGGCCTATGAACAGGACTGGTCTGAGGAAGTGAGAAAAATATGGGCATGTAGTGAGCTTCTCATAAGTCAAGTGTACGCACCTTAACAAACTATCCTTCAGCCAAATGAACAAGTAGTATATCACTAAGAAGCATGAAGTGAATTACCAAGAAATCTTAAAGTTTAAAAAGTGGTTTTGTCCTTGGGTTTGGGAGGGACAGAAAGGGTTTTTCGTGTCATATATATATATATATATATATATACACACACACACACACACAAAATTGGGGCCCTCCCTGATGGCATAACAGGTTAAAGCACAGCTCTAAGACGCTGTCTGCAGCCATGGTAGCATAAATTTGTTCCCTGGCCAGGGAGGTGACCCAAGTGGCCTCTCCCGTCCTGCCCGCTGCTCTCCTCAGCAGTGTATTTCAGTAGATCTGCCTGTTCTGCCCCCCACTCTGTCTCTGATGAACCCTCTCAATGCCCACCACCCAGCCCTTCCCTTTGCACCTCCGGCCTGTGCCCCAGTTCCTGTATGCATAAATAAATAAATCTTTAAATAAATAAATAGATATATGTATATATACAGACAAATTGAAAAATTAACATTGGCCTTTGTTCTGAATTTGCCTTATTTAAAAAAAAAAAGATTTATTTATGCATACAAGAACTGGGGTACAGGCCAGAGGTGAGGGGGGTTGGTGGGGTGAAAGGATTTACCAGAGACAGGCTATTGAAATACAATGCTTAGGGGAGTAGCAGACTGGACAGGCGAGGTCTGCTGTGCCACGTGGGTCACCTCCCTCTCTGGGGATCAAACTTGTGCTGAAGTGGCTGTGGCTAGCGTCATAGCGCTGTGCGTTTACCCTTGCACAGCCATGCAGGGCCTGAATTTGTTCTACTTAAAAAAAATATTCAAAGTAGTGTCTTGTATGAAATGATACAAGGTAGAGGATAGTGAGAGGCTATCCAGCTCCTCACCACCCCTTGCCTTATCTCTTTTGGCAAGAGTACCTTGAGCTAGTCTACATCCTGAAGTCAAGAGAAGTGGGAGCCACCAGCCCAGAGCAAAAGCTCCGTGCGCCTGCGAAGCAGCGGGAGGCCAGCAGGGGTCAGGCGAGCTCCACTAAGGCCTGCGGAGCCGCTCCCCAGCCGGGTCCCGCCAGCCGGAGCAGCGCCTAGCTGCGCTCAGCAGAGCTCGGTGCTACAGGAAAACCGGGAGGGGGCGGCGGGGGAGCAGGGAGAGGACCCTAGGTTGGGGATCGCGATCCTCGGCCCCCAGAACCCTGGATTCCGACTCCGTGGGTGGGGCACTGCCTGAGCGCCCGCGCCTGGAATCAAAGAGGCAGCTCCTCCT